GACGGAAGTTATTATCTACATAGATGAAACAAAACGTTTCGATTAAATAAATAAATAACCAGCAGCGCATCGTTTAAAAAGTTTTTCTTCCTCCACTCTACATCATCACTCATAACCGTTGATAAGTTAATCTACATTAACAAATGCTATAGCTGCTGTAAAATACAAATTTTTTGCCTGTTCATTTTATTTTTTTTCACCCGTCTAGTTTTTTCCTTTTTTTCTTTTTACCATTAAGTTTTTCTTTCGATTTAAATGTACATTGAAGGTCGATAATGGGGTTCGCCCCGCTGACCTTGTTTGATTGAGAATGAATAAAGACATAAAACAAAAACAACAGTGACTTTTTCAATTGCTTGTCGTTTTTATAGAACTTCTAAAAAGCGAATATGTAGCAAAACTGTTGATTCAAAATAAAATGCTTCGTAACTCTCCACGATGGTATTCTTATGATGAATAGTCGTTTATATCCCATCAGAACAATGACATTGCTTACGCCGTCTGTTCCAAGCTGACATCAAGAGTGTAAAGTTATTACATGGAGCAGTTCAAAAGTTTTTTCGCCCTGCTCTCCTAAAAGCTGTAATTTGAGCGGTAATAGTCTGCTATTGCTCAAACATAGTTAGCATTATGTGCAAAACTGAAGCCTTAGAAGTCTTGTGTGTCGTGTATTTTTGCATTTGTTTTAGATTAGGGATACAGCATTTTCGATATGACTGTTGAACCCTCACGAGAACAGTTTCGAACTGGAGATGTGCAGGGTATGAGTTTTTTGTCCCCTGAACCCTACCCTATCGACTTCAAACAGCTTGCACCCTACATCCTACCCTTCACATAAAAAAGTAGGAGTAAAATATGATCATTTATTCAGCGATCAAAGACCGTTTGTCTACCTACAATTTTTTCAAAACAATAAACACACATTTTGTTGCTGCCGAAAATTTCGCAATAACAATATGTCGTCAAGTACGTCGAAATTCAAAGATTGTTGTCTTTGTTCTAATATTCGGTCAGTAGCACTGAATATTCTTTGTGATGTGACCGAACTCCCAGGGATCCCCAATAATGATCGAAACAACAAACTGCGATTTGGATAGATGACAGCTTGACACATGAAGTCATGCAGCACTAAGGAGCAAATATCTCTCAATACTAAGCGTTCTTTATATTATAGGGTACAGCCTATGACAAACGTCTCAACCTGTATCCTATTCTATAAAAATATTTCGTACCCCTAACCTACGTTGTCCTATAAAGTTTGTACCCTGCCGTACCCTACTCTAAGGATAGGATAGGGTCATCCTGCATCCTTCTATTTCGAACAATGATTTCACATGATCAAAAAATTGCCTTGACGAACAAGGAAAGTTATGTTCGTTTCGTGCAAGCACGGGAGGTCCAAGGACCTTCCGACCGGAGCGTTCTCAGTTGGTTTTATGAATTCTAACGAAGGAATTTGAGCATTGAAGATAATACGCGTTCAGGTTGTCCTCGAACTGCTCTCAATGAAAAAGCGATTGATGCTGTCCGAGCAATAAGTGAAAATGATCCTCATTCAACGTACGAGCACATCGTGGGCACGGATTCGTCAGCGGCCAATTCAAGTATTCATGATTATTTGAAGTTAGGCAAAAGTGACTTTTGCCCAACTTCAAATAATCATGAATCGATGGGTGCCTCACCAACTGACGGATGACCAAAAACAGTTCCATGTACAATTCTGTCGCCATTCACTAAAGAGATTTGAAGAAGGTCAATCCCGTCGTGTTTTCGACATTATGACTGGTGATAAATCATGCTTCTTTCCTTATGAACCACAAAGACAAGAGCATGCGAAAGTTTGAGTGTCACAAACTACTGCAGACGAATGGTAGTTACTTTCTTCATAAAATCTGGTTTTATCAAGTCCATACCATTGGAACTTGGTAAAACGATAAATGAAAGTTGGTATGTCAATAGCTGCCTACCACAAGTTTTCATAACTGTATCAGAATGGATATAGAAGACCGAACTCCAAGGTCTCATTTTCTATGACGACAATGCGAGGCTGCATAGAGCCTAGACTAGTGAATTTTTGGCTGAAAATTAATCCAATCTACCGTATTCTTCAGATCTAAGTCGGTCTGGCTTCGTCAAAAATCAGCTATGTAGACTTCAGTTCAGTGACGACAATGCAATTGCCGATTGCATTAGAACAAGCCATTGACAGCCTCACAATAGACGATTTTAAAAACTGTTTCCGATGACTGGTTTATTCGAATGCATTGATGCTGAGAGACAATACTTTGAAAAACTACACTAGAACCAACCTTTGAATATTTATTTAAAGGGCTGGCGAAAAAGCTTTTGGAGTGCCTCTTATAGTTTTTCGTAAGTGAGTCCAAAATTCTGAGGCATGAGAAAACAAAACTTTTTTATAACTTTTTCAATAAAATAAAAGCAAAAACTACTAATACTTTCAAATAGACTGACTGATCATGCGGTACTGAATAAAACAGTAAAACCCAAGATTCTTTCACTCTATCAGCAAAAACAATGTACTTGAAATCAATGATAAGCGTCTTTTCTCTCTCACATCCATTTTTGTCTGAAACGTCAATATTACTGTTGCAAAATACACTGTTAAGAAAACAAATTTTTTTTGTGTTGAGAGGACAAAGTTCCTCTTATTGCAATCTCTAGTGTAGAGAAAAAGAAAATACAATCTTTTCTCAGCAAAAGCAAACATTCAGAATAGAGATAACACTGCACTTTTCCTCATGTAAAAATAAATTTGTTGTTACTTGTCAAGAATAAAAAGATATTAAATAGTGTATATAAGCCACATAAAAAGCGAAGATCAAGACCTATCCATAGTGAAAGTCCTCATACGGTTGGTACTAAATACTAAAGATTTTTCCGATAAACTAACGGGTTATAACTAATTATCCACGTTCGGTTTTGCGGTCAGTCGAATATCTAAGCAAAATCGAAATATCGAAGAAATACCCTTATTTGTCTTTTTCTTTCAGTGTTAGGACGTTTTTAGCAAAATCGCACCGGCCAATCAGATGTCGCGTATTAGTACTACAGTTAGTAAAAGAGTACTACCGTTAAAAATATCCATGAGTACTAATCAAAAACTAAAAATATTAATGGTAGTACTAAAAAAATTGCCGTATTAGGACTGATGGTTTAGTACTTGCACCAGAGAAATCACAAAGGTATAGGCTAGAAAATCAGAAATCAGCCGCGCATAGAAACATATAAACTTCCTTTTTATTTACTTATTACTTTACATTATACAGTAAAGATAAAATAGTACCCTTTCTATGGCAATTCCATTAGAAAATATGTTCAGAAAGCGTTATCACAATAATCCAATACAGATAATCGATGGTAATATCATTCCGTTTAAATTTTTCTAGATTGTATTTTAATGGAATTTACTTTTTTGAACAACAAAGCCATTAAGATGAACATATGATCATGGCTAAAATACTGGAGAATATATTATCGTTTTCCAACCAAATTAATTTCAAACATAAACTTTGACAAATGCTTGTATTTTTCCTTTACAAATTGGACATAACTGAAGTTCTTGTGAACATTTAGTACAGGTACATAGATGACCGCACGGGATACAGGCCAGCTGTTTTTCTTCTTCACGACACAAGACACAAATGTTGATTTCAGATGCTTTAAGTTTAACTTCTGTTTCATATTCACATTTTCTATCATTTTCTATTGTTTGATTTTCTTCTATACGGAGAAATACAACAAAAATCACGGACATAAATATTTGCACAGTTGTCTATTTATTTTGGGATCACGAAAAATAAAAAACCAAACAAATGACCGTTTATGTCAACAGACATTATGCAATCGTTCAAGAGTTTTTGTTTTCTTTTTGTTTAGTCAGTTTTTTTGCAAAATATGCGCCGCGTGATATAGAGAAGTATGCTATGTAGAAATTCTGAAAACAAGTGGATAGTCTCTGGATACTGCAGATTGACAACTGTACGGTCGTTTTTCAAACATAAATCCAGATTCGACGCCATAAGCTGCACAAATAGAAGTAAGTTGTTTTTTGGACTTAGAAATTTTTCGTACATTTGTATAAGTTGACTGTTCGGCGCCATTTGTTCTTCACTTCAGACGAAACATATCTCTCTCTCTCCCTTTTCCTTGTGTTCTTCAAGTATGTTTGTTCTTTGTGGATAAAAGTTGAATGAGATTAATGTGTTGACAAAAGAATTGCAATAGAAGACAGAAACAAATGACTTTTTTTCATTTTAATTCATTTACGAAATAGAGTTTTCTCCTTTGTACAATATTTACATTAGTCATTCATAAACGAGATATTATAGATCATCTTCCCCATGATTTACTTACTCTGTTTTATTTGTTTTAATTTTTCTGTTGGTATAACAATTTTATCCTTGTTTCCGTTGATGTTTTCAATTTGTTTTTGAAGAATGAGGCACGCCACAAACAAATCGTTAGGCGTAGCAAAATCATCAACTAAACAAAAACGAATATGAGATTTTAAAGCTTCATTTATTCAGGTTTTCAGCTGATATAAACGTATCCATAAGACATCTGATAGCTGCATCCTGAATTTCTGCGTATTTCTAGTGACTGAAATGAAGTATGACCGGCAAAACTATTCTTTATATATGAGGTGGATCCAACATGAAAAAGAGACGAAACTGCCCAGGCGACAAAGAATCATTAGAAACTCCACCAAAACGCGTTTTCCCGAACGCGTTAGAGACCGATCGTAAAAGAACCGTTTAAACGGGTTTTTTTGTCAATTGTTTTACCCGTGGGTGTATCAGATTGATTAACCGTTCTGATTCCAGCGTATTTCTTTTCGAACTTACGTTTTAATCTTAACTGATCTTCATAAGCACGTTTGATAATCGATACTTTGAACTGATTCGACAGACGTTGTGCAATTTGTGTATCCAAACGAGAAGCGACCATTTTTGACAACGTATTCTCATCTAATGTCTGCAACTTTGTACCGCCAGTAGTTTCAGTTTGTTTTTTCACTAAAATAACAACTTAAAATAATAGTAACAATATAATTACTCTTTACAAAACAACACACCTTGTTTCGTTTGTTGAATTCGTTGATATAAATCATTACCACAGAATTGTCTAATAAAATTACAATGTGGAAACCATCTCGCATGCTCAATGTGAGGTCGATCCTGAGAACTCCAGTTTTGAAGTGAACCGTTACAGAAGAAACAAGTCACTATCGTTTTCAAACCCGTATAGTAGAAGCCAGCTTGAATAAAATCATGTATCGAAGGGGATTGTTGATCTTTAGGCCATGTACTAAATGTTGCTTCGCGTTTTTGTAGCTCGATATACTCTCCATGACACGCTGAGGTTAAAACTATTCCACTAGTGTTTATGATCGATAAGGATTGATCATTTACGATTGGACGCGTGAGTTTCAAATAACGCGTAAAGTAACAACAATTGGGTGAGAGTAATTTATGTACTTCTTCTGGTTCATCTTCCTCTGCCCATTGCTGGCAAATTAAATTGCAATGTATACATAAAACCCTGTCGTTAACATTCGTATAGAAAAAGCCAGCTTCAATCATCTGTGTTTTACTTGGATGTGCGATTGACCAATGTGAGAACGTTCGAGAACGAATTTCATTAAGCATAGTTGGCTCAACAAAATTCGGTTTCACATTTTCACTATCGTCTTCTTCTTTCTTGATATCGATTGAAGTAGTGGGTATTTCGTGAGTAGCATGCTTACATTGGGCAAGTGTATGATGATTCTTTATTTTTTCAATTGTCTTCCCACATCGCGCATAAAACCGTTCACTAGGCGTTGTATACTGTTTCATTTTTTCATTAATTTGAGTAGCACCGGTTGCAACCATCTTTCTTTTTCACTTAGCTGCGTTTTTAACTATAAACCGTAACAATATGATTATGTTATACGTAATACATACCAATGAGTCTGAATGAGTGTGAATGATATCTATATTGAGCTGTGATGAATTAATCGGAACTGTTGAGCAAAGAATGCTATTTAAACCAGACAATAAGTAAAGACAAAGTTGGTATGGGTAAATTGTATTATTAAAGGACATTTCCACTTAAAATAGAAGTGTGACTAATTGTTCTCGTTTCTTTCCGCTTCTTTTCCTTCTCTACGAAAAGCAACTGTGACTCACGTAATCTAGAAAAAACCAGTTCGTTTTTATTATTATGATCACCCACTTCAACGAGAAGAGAACCAGCCTTTCCCAGGTAAGAAACTGAGTCATCTGGAAAAAACAAAATATTTCTTTCTAAAAACAACTTTTTCAGATTTTTCAACTTGCTTTTCATTTTACCAAAGATTTTTCCAATCAGAATATGTGGATTTGTGCTTTTATCATTAGTTACAACTGCTCTCTTCGCACCAACATTTTCTATATATATATATTTTGGAAAAATTGTCCAAGTTCAGTAGTATGAGAACAGTTATGAATAAATTTTACTGACTCCTATGACCAACTTGATATTTGAAAATTCTGTTATTAAAGGACACACTTCCACTTAAAGTAGAAGTGTGACTAATTGTTATCTTCTTTCCACTTCTTTTTTCCTTCTCTACGAAAAATAACTGTAACTCAGGTAATCTAGATAAAAAACAGTTCATTTTTATTATTATGACCACCCATTTCAACGAGAAGGGAACCAGCCTTATCGGGAAAAGATTATAGTTATTTACTTAAACCTTTGGAGCAGTATCAACATATTTAATAGATTCTTTTCGAAATGTTTTAAAACTGCTTTGCTATTCATTTTGTCTAATAAAGGTTAATTTCACACATTTCTGAGTGCGAACGGTAATCTCTATGAGAGGGTTTTCAGTCGACGCCTGTCGGCGTTTGTTATGAACCAGGATATGATTCCAGACGTATAGTCCGGTTCCCACCGAATCTGCGTCTACAACCCCGGGTCCTTTCATTCTTTCAGCAAACTCGTGTTGCGCTCTCGTCGTCTAGACGCTCTCTCTTCGCAGGGTTCGCAGTAGCCTTCGACAGGGTTTGGCACGATGCCTTGCTCGGTAAATTGGCAAAGCACCGTGTTAATCGCTGTCTTTGGGTATGACTACGCAATTACCTAAAAGGGAGATCGGCCTACATTTCTTTCGGTAGCTAAAATCTGCAGCTTTTCGCCTGAACACTGCAAGGATCAGTTCTTTTCCCACTTTGTTTACTTTATATATTTCCGACTTAGTTAATATTCTTTCTGCTCATTTGCAGCATTATTATGCAGATGATTTGGGTATTTTATTCTCAGTTTCATTTAGTACCAAGTACTGTGAAACGATAGATTCCTTGCATAGAACAGCTTCAAATGTACTAGAAGCACAGTCCTGTTAAAACGGAAAGTAAGTTGAACAATCGCCCTTTTTAGTCTCAGATAAAGAGAAACCATTACACTGCTTTTATGAACAATTTATCAGCTGTTGGATATCATATATAATTCAATAGTTTAGTTAATTAAAAAAGTGGATAAAAACTTTTAGCCGTATGCTAACAAGAACATCGCTGCTCACGAATTGTAAGAAAACAGAAAAGCGATGCATGTAGAATTTTTCCAGGTAAGAAACTGAGTCATCTGGAAAAAACAAAATATTTCTTTCTAAGAACAAAAAGTGAACAACGATGCTTTTGTTAACATACGGCTCTCAAGAGCTCGTATCTTCTTTTTTCTTTAACAATAGTATTGAATTTGAGTTAAACATGTAGTTCAACAGCCAACAAATTATTCATACAAATAGTGTAATGGTTTCTCTTTTACTATCTGAAATTAAAAAAGTCGATTTTTCAACTTGCCTTTTTTTGTTTTTATAAAAGATTTTTTCAATCAGAATATGTGGATTTGTGCTTTTATCATTAGTTACAACTGCTCTCTTCGCACAAACATTTGTGCCTTAAATAGGGTCCGGCGGGATGAAGTTTTTTCGTCCCGATCCCGGTCCCGTTCCAACCGGACTAAACCCGTCCCGATCCCGATCCCGCTCCAACTGGACGAAGCCCGTCCCGATCCCGAACC